TTTTAGAAAAAGTGTATTGTTGAGATTTTAATTAATTTTGTTGTTTAATATCAAATAAAAAATTACTGGAACATCAATTCTAAGTTGTTTTACGATTTAGAATTAACCGCGTTAGAAAACTAGTTATACTCTACTTTGCGGGAAGTCAAATATCAACGACAAAGGAACCACTGCAGAAAAATGTTTGTAGTTTAGGTTACGCCTCTTGTGCCCTTTTTATATACATTGTTCGTGGGAGTGTAGCCTCGTCTACACGACCGAACCGTGAACTCGAGTTAAGCGTCTAACACGGGGCCCTTAACCTCGAGCTAGCGTATAACTCGAGTTACGCGTAACCTCGCCATGTCGATCGAGCGTTAAGCGAATCTCGAGTTACCCTTAACTTTGAGTTAAGGCCCGTGTAGACGACTTAACTCGAGTTAGCCCGGTAGTACATAACTCCACGAGTAGGCGGCACACTAAGTTCGATGTACGTACACACGCACCCACCGCAACGCATCGCCACGCACACACTCATGCACGCACGCACGCCAACGCAACGCACGTGTACGTGCACACACACGAGCACGCACGTGTACATAGCCACACGCACGCATGCCGCGCGTGCAGGTAGCAACGCACGCACGCACGCATGCACGCACGTGTACGTACACACGCACGCACTCACAACCGCACGCAACGCACGTTACGTGCACATGCAACACGCGCGAACAAGGCGCAGCGCGCACGCACGCAGTGTACGTGCACATGCACACCGCGCACACACGCACGCGCGCACGACAGGACAGAGCCAGTGACGTGCAACACACGGACGCACGCACCGCAGCATGCACGCACGTGTCTGCACACGCACGCAACGGCACGATGTACCTGCACAACCGCGCGCACGCACGCACGTGTAAGTGCAACATGCCACGCACCACGCATGCACGCACATGCGTGGCATACGCCGATGCACGCATGTGTTAGCGTGCACAACGCACGACGTGTACGTTACACACGCACGGACGCACGATCACGCAACGTGTACGTGCCACGCCGCAACGCACGCCCCAGTCTACGTGCACATGCACACGCGCGTCACCACACGCACGCACCGACGTGTACGGCACACACCACGACGCACGCACGCATGCAAGGCGCACGTGTACGTGCCACACGCACGCACGCAGCGCACGAACGTGTACGCGACGCAACGCCGCACGTGTACGTGCATAGCACGCACGCACGCATGCACACGCGCGCATCACCGCATGCACGCACGTGTACGTGCACACGCACGCCGAACGACGTGTGATCGTACACACACGCACAGCACACACGCACGAACGTGGTACCTGCACACGCGCGCACGCACGGCACGTGTATGTGACATGCACGCACGCCACATGCCCCACTGGTACGTGTACCGCCACTCACATGCCCGCAAGGTACGTCACACCAGCACAACGCACGTAACGTCACGCATGCAACGCACGGTTACGTGCCACGCACGGCACGCACCGTATACGTGACACGCAAGCACGCATAGCACACGCACGCACGCGGCAAAAAGCAACCGCCACACGCAGCACCACGCACACGCACAGCGTTTACATACACACGACGCACGCACGGCGATGGCCGCCTACGGCACGCTGCACGCAAAATCGGCTAATAATCGCTATCGGGGTTGTCGTGTGACGCTACGTAATCGCGTGACTCAGTTTAACGCTTAACTCGACGTTAACGGGTTCGTCGTGTAGACGAGGTTTGTGTGACCTCGCACACGTTTTGGAGTGTTGAAAGCGAGCGGGTTCGAACAAAATATTTCACGAATTTTTTAGGCCGACAGCTCCCTCCTTGACACCCATGATGTATCATTAGTAGTATTTCATGGTAGTATATGCCAAGGTAACGGTAGCGCCTAAGGTTATATTTGAGAAAACACGAGATTTTGCTTTAAGCGTTGATTATTAATTCAATATGTTTATATCACATTATTCCCAGTTCATTTTGTAAATTATGCGATGTCTGTGATATTCTTATTATCCGTTTAGGGTCAGAGTACATCGCTGATATAACCTGTCACGGGCCCCGGTTATAGTCAAAATCAATTTTCTTTCTCTCAATTTTTCTTTCTTTCGCGCGCGCTCTCTCCGCTCCCCTCCCTCTCTCTCTCACGACCTCTCTCTCTTTCTTACTCGCCGTCTCTCTTCGTCTCTTTCTCTGCATACATCAGGGTCAGAATTATGGGGAGAAGAAGACAGGCAAACGCAGCAGTGACATCTTATAGCCGCAGCTAATCGACGCGATTACTCATTTATTATATATTTATATATATATATAATAGTATATATACATATGTGTGTTGTGGTCACAATATAGATTTGATTATACGTCTGCCTATATTAAGACATCGCTACTAATGCCACGTCATTAGCTGTAGTGGCGCGCAATAATGCATGCGGCCAGGCCAAAGCAACTATTATGTGATGGTCTCTACACCTTCCCTCTATTTCTGTTTTTCTGTCTCCTTGCCACACTTTACTCCTTCTTCTCAGTTCAGTCTAAGTCAGCGTTTCCCCTTTTCCGGCTTCTATCATCACTTTTCTCGGCTCTCACACCCTCCTTATCTACCGCCATCCTCTTTTCTTTCATGTGAATAATAAATATGATACGAGATGTCGATGGTGACCGAAAATCAATCTACTTTCGCTTTATTTCTTTGCAATTTTCAATGGTTTAATGATTTTTCATTTGATGAAAGTGGAGTACTGTCAATTATTGATAGGTTTGATGGACTTTCTGTTTGGAAATTACGAAGGTTCGAGCGTGAAATCGGCAGGTCCCAGACCTCGGACTTGCCTTATTTTCAGCCCCCTGATATTCTATTCATAGTTCGTTTGTTTCTTTTGACAACTTGAAAAAGTGATTCAAGAGTCTCATATAATGTGTTCAGAATAGCTTTGAATGTACCAAAACGCACCATTAAAAAAAAAAATTTCTTCGGTGCTCGCATTGCTTGCTCCTCGGATTTCTAATTTCATTTGCAGCTGAAAATTACATTCTCCAATCTCATCCCTGCGTATGTGTGTGTATGTGTGGGTGGGGGGGGGTCGCTAGGGATGTGGCCTGGGAGCCAAGTGGGTGGCAGTCCGAAAATGTTTGAGAACCATTGAGGTAGAGCTTCCCCATAGCTTATATGTGGTTAAATGACCTAGTCTCGCCATCTCTCGGTTGGAATAATTTAAAAATTTTCTAAATTACCTACCTTAGTACCTGTAATTTATACCTCATATTCTGAATTCGTCTACTAAAGCTGAATCAATTAAAAAAATTCCACGTTACCATAACGGGTTCGGGCGTTGTCAGAGCATGCATTCACCCAAGCGCGTTCTGATATTACGTATATATTTATTTGTTGGTTGGACTGTACATTTGCGTCAATGAGAACATGAGCTAACAAGCTACCCACCGCTAGAGATATACCACATGAAATAGCGCATGAATACTACGATATACCGCATGTTTTTAGTAAATTTTTTGAGAATGGCGTAAAATTATAGATACAGCGTGAGAATTGTAGGGCGGTGTTCATAGAAAGCAACATAATACACACAACCGTAACCTGGACAAATTAAAAAAAATAACTTAATAAATAGGCAAACATAATGAGGGTAGTATTTAAACTCAATGGTTTGTTTTTATTTGTAATATTTGTTCGATAAACGGCACTCCATGTACTATTCCTATACTATCCATGCCGACATCAATGTTGCGAGCGAAACGATACATATAAAATAATACCGTTTCGTGAGACAGGTAAGACTAATCAACGGGTGATATTAATTAACAGGTAAGACTAATTAACGGATAAGACTAATTAACAGAAAAGTCTAATCAACGTCCATGCCATGGCGGCTAAATATTGATGAAAGTTACCTTATTAAAAGGCTCTTATTAACCTTATTATAGCTATTTGTTGTTGTTTGTTAAAATTTGGCTTGGAGAATGAATTGGCATAATGTTATATTGTCTTCTTATATTACATAGATTTTGGTTATATTCGATTTATGGCTGCTTATCAAATGAAAAACCAATTTCTAGACTCTGAAAAAATAGCAATCATGTTCAACTAATGCTTGTCGGTAGGCGTGAGATAAATTGCTAACTACCTCGCTATTGTAGGGGAGCGGAGGAAGTGGGGAAGTGATTAGTGGCAAAGGGAGGAGAAGACGGTAGATGAGAAGCGAAGTAAGAAGGAGGAGGAGAAGGGGAGAAAGGGGGATTAGGAAGAGGGAATAAAGGGAAGATGTAAGACCATCACATAACTAGTCCTTTTCGCCTGGAGCATAGCAATTATCTTGCGCGCCACTACACGCTTACGGCGTGGCATTAGTACGAGGTTATATAGCAGACGTATAAATAAATAAATAAATAAATTTTTTGGCAGACACCATGGAGTATGTACACGGCCACATAACAGGCACCTATGACACGCTCATGCACATAATAACGTGTCAATAAAGTGTCATACACATGCAGAGTATAGAGATATAGTGTATCCGTGTATAGAGATATTTCTGTGTACGGCTCTATCACACGCATATCATTGCGGGGGCTGTAAGGGTTGGCGTTATGGAAGCCGACACGGATAATAGACGTGTCTGGCGTTACACATGTTTCTCTATCACATCTCTCTCATCTTTCTGATTACTTCCACAATGCTCAGCACTGGAAAGACATTCTTCCATTCATCTCTATCGCTGTCGCCCTCTCTCTCTCTCTCTCTCTCTCTCTCTCTCTCTCTCTCTTCTCTTCCTGGCTTCTCCCCCTGTCTCTCTTCTCGTGTCTCTCCTGCTGTCTCTCTCTGTCTGTCTCTCTCTCTCTCTCTCTCTCTCTCTCTCTTCTCTCGTGTGTCTCTCTTACCGTGTATTTCTATCATTTCCTCTTATAAACGTGTTACATATACCAATAAAACAATACGAGAATAACAATTATTATCATGATAAAAATAAACTGAAGCATATAAAATCAATCTATCTATCAACTGAATCAGCGCAATCTATAAAAAAAGGCATAGGTTAAATTGAACCTTCGTTATCGTTATTATACCATTGTAATATTATTATTATCACAATTATAACAACAATAATATTAATTATTATTAATATTTTTATATTAATTCTATTATTATTATTATGGTTTTACCTATAAATCGGAGCCCCTCGCTCTGTAAACGTATTGCCCTCGTTCTCCGTTTCGTGACAGCCGTTCTGCTGCCAGCAGACGACATCGTCATCGTCATCGTCACCGTCATCGTCATCGTCGGTGGCGAGTTCGTGGAAGAGTAGAGCGTGCAGGGCGCAATTTAGCGTGTCGCAGCATTCGTCTGTATAGGCTAGCAGCCGATCCGATGCCTCGCCCATCCGAATGGATATACGTCACCGGCCCACGCCGCGTGTCACGATGTCATCTAGAGATGCCGTATACTAGATGACGCACTAGTCTCGAGTATTCTCTGGATGAACACATTTCTACGTTGCAACGATTTCGTCGTTGATATCTGTGTGTGCTGAATACGTCGCCGACCTTTGCACATCACGTTTGCATCCTATAGACATTACGTATTAGATGTGCATGTTTCTATGTTCGCATCGTTTTACTCTGCTGATAGCTGAGTGTACTATATATTGTGTGCTCTCTCCTGCTCTCTCCTGCTCTCTCTTGCTCTCTCCTGGCTCTCTCTCGCTCTCGCTCGCTCTCGCTCGCTCTCGCTCTCTCTCTCTCTCTCTCTCTCTCTCTCTCTCTCTCTCTTCTCTCCCGCTATTTTTCACTCTTCTTTTCTCTCCCTTTCTCTTCTCTTTTCTACTCTTCTTTTTCGTCTCTTCTCGTCTCTTCGCTTCTCTTTTCTCTGCTTTCTCACATCGCTCTCTTTCTCTCCTTAGTGAACTCTCAAATTACTTCAATCTATACCTGACGTCCAACTATCGTGTCCGAGTAGCGTGCTAGGCGTGTGGTCGCCGTCCTGTTCTCCCTGTGTCAGAACGCGGCCCAACTCGTGTGTGCGTCACGGCGCTGAGATTCCGTCGCTGCCTGATCGCTTGCATCGTCCTGCCACCAGTTCGCCACTCAATGACCGTCATGCACAAACTCGTCGTGCGCTGCAGCAGCTACAGATAACCACGCAACACCATCACCGGAGAGGAACCGGAACGCGGAAGGACGGGATTGCGTAGCGTCGTGTCTCTACGCGTACATTCGCGAAAATTATCGGCACTCACGGCGAATAATCAGCGGACACTCGCTTGCTATTCCTGCTCGCTTGCTGACCATGATGCGACTGACGATGACTGTACTACACTCACTCGCTGGCACATTGCCTATCTCTTGCCTGTCCGAGTTTGTGCAGTCTGTCCTGGTTGACGGCGGTAAGCTGCGCTGCTGCGAAACACTTACAGGGGGTGACTATCAGTGATGTAACACGTGAAGGCTGTGTGATTGAAGGGTGAGTGGAATTGCGGCCCAACTGCCGCAATGACAAGGGCGTGGTGATGAAAACATGATCATGACTGACTTGACCCCATGCGCCCGCCTCTCTCTCTCCTCTCTCTCTCTCTCTCTCTCCTCTGCTCTCTCTCTCTCTCTCTCTCTCTTCCTCTCTGTTCTCTTGTCTCTTCTCTCTCTCTCTCCTCTCTCTTTCTCTCTCTCTCTCTCCCTACTCTCTCTCTCCTCTCTCTCTCTCTCTCTCTTTCTCTCTCTCTCTCGCTCTCTCGCTCTCTCGTTGTCACTCGTTCTCCTCTCTCTCTCTCTCTGCGCGTGCCGCTTCCTCTTGCTTCGCGAGCTCTCTCTTTTCTCATGCTCCACGCTCTCTGTCTCTCTTCGCACTCTCCCGTTCTTCCTCCCTATCTCTCTCCTACCTCAATCCCCCCTCTCATTCCTCTCTCCCTTCTTCCTATATCTCTCTCTCGCGCGCGCGCTCTGCTCTGTCATGCACACGTACGTCTCGCTCACGCGCCGACAGCATCAGCACTGTCTGTGGCGGTGTCTCGTCACCGTCAAGCAGTAAGTTTGCTCACGGTTGAATCTGATGTGTGAACAAGCGTTGTGTTTCCGCGCGTCCCGCTGTCTCCCTTTGACGCGCGCGTTCGTCCGCGGTGGCGTTACTTATTTAGTGGTGGCTGCCTTCGTTCGCCCGCATACATGCTGCTGTTTCGTATGCTGTGCTGATCTTGCTGCTGCTTACTGCTTGCGTGCTGCTGCTGTGCTGCTCGCCATTCGGCTGCTGCTCGCTGCTGCTGATGATGAGAATGATGATGCATCGCGTGCTGCTGCTGCGCTGATGATGATGATAGATGCTGCGCTTTTTTTTTGCGGTGCTGACTGATGCTGTTGTGTGCTGCTGCGTGCTATATGCGCCTGACTGCTGCTGTGCTGCTGCTGGCTGCTGCTGGCGCTGCATACTGTTGCTACTGTACTGCTGCACTGTACTCGCTGCTGCTGCTGCACTGACGCTGCTGCTGTCAAGTTGCTGGCTGTGTGCCTGCTACGTACTTGCCTGCGCTTGCCTGCTACTGCTGCCTGCTGCCTAAATACTGGTGCTACTGCTAGCTTGCCTCTTGCTACTGCTGCTGCTGTTACTCGCTGTGCGGCTGTGCTGCTATGTTTGCTACTGCTAGCTCTGCTACTGCTGCTGCTGCTGGTGCTGCTGCTACTACTGCTACTGCTGCTGTGCTTCTTCTGCTCTGCCTACTGCTGCTGCTGTAGTCACTGCTGCTATATGCTACTGCTGCTATCAGACAGTGGTGGCTTGTAGTGATACCGTTGGCTTGATGATGTCTTGCTGCTGCTGTGATCGTACTGTGATGCTGCTCTGTTGTTGTCGTTGTTGTTGTGTTTATGCTGCTGTTGCTGCTGCCACCAACGGTGTTTGATGTAGCGGTGATAGCTGCCTAACTGCTGCATATGATGCTACAGCTTCGCTGCGGTACTGCCTACTGCCTGCTGCTGCTATATTAATGCTAGCAGCGCTGCTGCTACTGGCTAACTGCTGCTGCTGCTCTGCTTGCTGCCTTGCTGCTGATTCTAATGTTCGATGTAATAGAGCGTGGGACACGACGAATGGCAACACATTCATATTACAAAAGGAAGTTGGTAAATACGAATGCGTTTACGAAATCGAGTTCGAAAAATAACGTCCGACACGTTCTCTAGACGTATTTGCATATATCTACGTATATCTACGTATATCTAGTAGCCTCTTCACATTCTGTGGCGGGATTTTGTAAATTATACGATGCCTGCGATATTTTTATTATCCGTTTAGAGTCCATCCCTGATATAGCCTTGGTGTCACTAGCTTCGTTTATATTTAATTCAATTTCTTTCTCTCTCATTCTTTCTTTCGACTCGCTCTTCTCTCTCTCTCTCTCTTCTCTCTCTCTTTTTCTCACACCTCTCTCTGTTTCTTACTCTCCATCTCTCTTTGTCTCTTTCTCTCTATTATTATGGGTCAAAATTATGGGGCGAAGAAGACAAGCCAAAACGCAGCAGTTGACATTTACTAGTCGCAGCATAATGCACGAGTCCTTATATATTCAAGAATATATACTATATATATATACTAATATATATATATATTATATATATATATATATATAATATATCTTTATTTCCTTTATTTAGTTCCAATATCAATATATATATTATATTATTATATATAGTATACTGGGTCATATATATATCTTTTATATATGTAA